ATAACAGCTGGAACACTTAAATCACTCATGTGTACCTTAGCTGTGAACTGTGTGTCTCATGCAATTGTTTCATTTTCTCACATACATATGAAAGAGTTTCCTGTGGATATGGTAAAGTATAGTAGCACCTTAGGTCAAATGCCGTGAGTTGGATCTAGAACTGTAAAGCCTGAGATTTTGTAATTTTCGTCATGAATGCTTTATAACTTTAAATGTATGTAATTATGTATTGTTAAAGGACCACTAAAGTCACCCAGACTACTTCATATCAATGAAGTGGTGTGGAATCAGAGGCCCTTTAGTTTAAATCCACACTCCAGGCACCCAGACCACTTCTGCCCATTGGAGTGGTCTGGGTGCCAACTCCCACCATCCTCAACCCTGCAAGTGTAATTATTTCAGTTTTTACAAACTGCAAGAATTACCTTGCAGGGTTAAGTCCTCCTCTAGTGGCTGTCTATCAGACAGCCACTAGAGGGACTTCCGTGTTCTTAGAACATGAAAAATGTGTTATCTGACGCTGGAATCTGACGCTCCTGGGGGCCCCAGAGCAGCTGCCCCGTGGGCCCCGTGATTTGAGCAGCCCCCATGGACCCGGCGGTGCGGCTGCACAGAGCCGCACCGGCCCGCACGCTAAGAAGGCCCACCAGGTGGCCCATGCAATAAGGGCCACCTGGTGGGCATTTGTCAGCATGGGCCCGGTCGGGCGCTGTGGCGCTTAAACAGTGTGACTAGGCCCCTTTATGTTTGGTAGCCGGCTGGGCTGACCGTCAGGAAGTAAAACCAATAAATTTTATCTTTGTTTTGACCGTCAGGAAGTGACAGCTGCGCGTCACTTCCTCCCACACACAGATTAAAGCCGTGCAGGAGATGAAAGGCAGTGAGGAGGGGGCCAGGCCGAGAGTGCTATAGCCTAACTCCCAACTGCCTCAGCCTGCCACTGGACCCCAGGGAAACCACCCTCCAGAAAAAGGTAAGAACCTGGAGGGTGGTTAAATGTATAGCATGTGTGTGTCAGTATGTGTGTGTGTCTGTCTGTCAGTGTGTGTGTGTGTCAATATGTGTGTGTGTGTGTCAGTATGTGTGTGTGTATCAGTATGTCTGTGTGTGTCAATATATGTCAGTATGAGTCAGTGTGTCTGTCAGTATGTCTGCCAGTTTGTGTCAGTATGTCTGTGTGTGTCAGCATGCCTGTCAGTATGTCAGTATATGTGTCTGTCAGTATGCCTGTCAGTGTGTGTGTGTCAGTATATGTCAGTATGTGTGTCTGTGTCTGTCACTGTGTGTGTCAGTATGTCTCTCAGTGTGTGTCAGCATGTCTGTCAATGTGTGTGTATATCAGTATGTCTGTGTGTGCGTTTATGGAAGTGCACCTGTCAGAATGTCTGTCAGTGTGTGTCTGTGTCAGTATGTCTATGTGTGTGTGTAAGTCTGTCTGTCAGTGTGTGTCAGTATATGTGTCTGTCAGTATGTGTCAGTATGTGTGTCAGTATGCCTGTAAGTGTGTGTGTCAGTATGTCTCTCAGTGTGTGTCAGCATGTCTGTGTGTGTGTTTGTGTCAGTGCGTCTGTCAGTATGTCTGTCTATGTGTGTGTGTAAGTCTGCCTGTCTGTGTGTGTGTGTATATCTGTCAGTGTGTGTCAGTATATGTGTCTATCAGGGTGTGTGTCAGTATATGTGTCTGTCAGTATGCTTGTCAGTGTGTGTGTCAGTATGTCTCTCAGTGTGTGTCATGTCTGTCAATGTGTGTATCAGTATGTCTGTGTGTGCGTGTGTGTCAGTGGGTCTGTCTGTGTGTGTCTGTGTCAGTATGAGTCAGTGTGTCTGTCAGTGTGTGTGTGTCAGGATGTCTCAGTGTATTTGTCAGTATGTGTCTGAGTATCTGCTTTCGTTGTGTATCTGTATATTATCAGTTTGAGTATCTGTGTGTGTTTGTCTGAGTGTGTGTATCTGTGTACCTGCATGTGTGTCAGTGTGTGTCTGCATGTTTTTTTAGAGTGTGTGTATCTGTGTGTGTGTTTGTGTGGCAGTGTATGTGTATATGTGCATACATCTCAGCATTCAAACACTAACATGACACACAAATACACCCCTGCCTTAAAACGTGAACACTTTATACAAGCACACTCATTCCATGAAACGTCAACAGTACATACAAAAACACCTCTGTGTTAGACATCAAGATTATAAATAAACACAACCTTGCATTCAACGATTAATACTACTCATAAATGCATACTTGCATTCAAACACCAACAAAACATACTCCTACATTCACACTAGCATACACCATACAAAAACATGCTTACATTCAAACACTGCTCAGTGCTAAATACAATTATGCAAGCATGGGAATATGTAGAGCCCCAGCTGTCAAAGCATTGTTGGAGCTGCACAACAGATGGGGATCTACCTTTTGGCCACCCTTGCGATAAAAAGCACAAAAATTCTTGCACCAGGGCCTTCTCTACTGCCGTCAATGCGGTGGGATGTAGGATGTGATTGCATGCCAGCGAGCGGAAGATGGGGGACAGAGTCCAGGGGGCCCAAGCTAATTCTTGCCCCGGGTCTATTCAGTATTAAAGATGGCCCTGCACATGCACACATGAGTACACATACACACTGACATACAGCAAAGTGTATGTCTATTAAATTTTAGGCATTTAAATATCAGTTTAGCAGTTGGAAAGAATAGTGGAGAGCAGATAAAATAATGATTTTTCTATACTGTTATTGTGAATGATGACAGCGAACTTCAAGTCAAGAACAAAGAAAGTGGATTCTAAAGCAACTCTTAATGCATAAATTGAAATTAAAGCTGTACTTTTCAAGACTATTACTTGGTCTTTTGGAGGACGACTCAGACCGTTGCTTGCAATTCTGTGAAATGATGTGTAACCAAACTTCTAACGAACCAGACCTTCTTCATAAGATCATCTGGACAGATGAGGCTTCTTGCAAATTGTCAGGCCATGTGAGCAGGAATAATTGTGTGTATTAAGCAGATTAAAATTCTTATTTAACTATCACATCTCAACTAAAACAGGTAGGTGTCACAGTGTGGGCTGCACTATCCAGCGAAGGTGTTGCAGGACTGGTTTTCTTTGATAGAACTCTAAATAGTAACAATTACTTAAACTTGTTGCTCAACATGGTAGTGCCACATCTCAGTACCAGGGCTAACTTACATAGTTACATAGTTACATAGTTACATAGCTGAAAAGAGATTTGTGTCCATCAGGTTCAGCCTTCCTCACATATGTTGTTGCTGTTGATCCAAAAGAAGGCAAAAAACCTAGTCTGAAGCGCTTTCAATTTTGCCACAAACTAGGAAAAAATTCCTTCTTGACCCCAAAATAGTCAGATGTCTCATTGGATTAAGCGGCTATTACCCCACTAATTACCCCACTAATTGGAAATTATTTCCCTGTATGTTATGTTTTTGTAAGTATTTATCCAATTGCAGTTTAAACCTCTGTAGTGACTCTGACAAAACCACCTCTTCAGGCAGATGATTCCATATTCTTATTGCTCTTACTGTAAAAAAACCTTTTCTTTGCCTTGGGTGAAATCTCCTTTCTTCCAGCCTAAATGTGTGACCTCGTGTCCTATGTATAGCCCTGTTTATGAATAGATTTCCAGATAAAGGTTTGTACTGGCCCCGAATATATTTGTATAAAGTTATCATACTATCATAGTTATCATCAACTTCACCAAACTACTCTTCCAACAAGATGGGGCACCTCCTCATTATGCGTTTGCACTAAGGGACTACCTTGACAACACCTTCCCACAGCATTAGATCAGATGATGTGGCAGCATTGAATGGCCACGTTCACCAGGCTTAACACCAATGGACTTCTTTTTTTGTGGTATAGTAAAAATTATGGTTTTTGAGAGGAAGCCCCAGACAATAGATGAATTAAAGCAGTTCATCTCAGAAACATTTATGTACATTGATGCGGTCCGGAAGTTGTGTTATACTGCCTGTCACAGTGTACTGGACAGATTTGAGGAATGTTGCAACGTTGATAGAAGACAATTTGAGTGCTTACGACATTAAATAGTGTTAAACAGATATAAATGTATTAAACAATGTAATAAGATGCAAATAAACTATTCTGTATACCTACTTTTGGGCCACGCTGTATTTTCGTTCAATTCCTAGAACAATATGTGTGGATGTGATATGATATTTCTGAACCAAGTATAGTGTTTTCACTGCCGAAAAATAAATGCTTCAGTTACTGTTAGAGTTAATCTATTCCTTTTGACAGCTAAACCTTGGTGCACCTTGTAGAACAGTGACAGAAGTAGGCTTCAGTGGGCCCATCTGATGGAATGGTGGCTGGCATTGAGCAGAATCCGTGAGATCTCTGTATCTTCCATAGCTCCTTTATGTCATCCCATGGTAGCAGTAACCTGTATGTCATACTGTGTCAGATTAAGTCTGCTACTACAAAAAGCACCATTTGATGTCTATTCAATTCCCTGTATAGATGTCACTACTCCTTTCCACATGTCTCAACAATTCCAGATTCCATCCTTTCTTATATTTCCACTGTTTCACTTCTCTCGAACCTCAAAGAAAATTAAGGTAACTGCTTGCGCAAGCACACAAATGAACATGACATAGATAGGATCAAAAGAATATCAGCCAAAAAGAAAATATGGGCGGAATAAAATATCATGTAATCAAGCAAACAAATACTCAAATGTTTACTGTTACGTGTGTAGAATTTTTCAGATCATCAGCCCCTACTAGCACAGCCAGGTCCACTCTTCGTCATTAGGACAATTAGCCACAAACGTCAATGTAGCGGAGCTGCAATATTAAATCCCAATATCTCCGTTGGTACAGAAAGTAATCCAAGTAAAGCGCTGGAAAGGAAGGCAATATCCCAAATCCCCCAGTAACCGGACGAAACACAGTTCTGGGAGTCAACTGACAATTTTATTCACAGCTCCAGTATTTATGTAATTCCCCATGCAAGGGGTTTCCTTAGTCACTTTACAGGGGTATTACAGTAGAGGACTACATGGGGAACTGAATATACAGAGCATTTCTCCCACCATGCACTGCTGTACGTGAGGGATACTCCCACTAGAATATCCTGTTAAGTGGATTATCCCTCCGTACAGCAGAACCGGGTTTTAACATAAAAATGTATAACTTTAACATTATTCGTGGGATTATAATAAATGACCGTTCGGTAGATAGCTGGGGTCTGAGCGCACACTTCGTGAAAGTACCACTCAGATCCCAGCATAAATAACCAAATGCCGCACGAAACATTCTTTTATATCAAATTACCCTAAAAGTACCGAATACCTATTGGGAACCCAAATACCGAAAGACCGGGGCTCCCGAACAGCCTGGAAGTCCAGCGGTGTTTGCGCTATTGAGTAGCCGATTTTAGTTCCAGGCACTCGATGACCAAACACCACTGGGCTAACAAAGGATCCAAGATGGCCGACCGTCACGTGGTCAGTAGCCGAACGACGGCCACCTAGGAAAGCAATTAACTACCGACTGCAACAATGTTGCAATCGTTTAATGGGCGCCACACGACCCTCTGTGTGTGTGCTCCCGTTCAGTACCTTATTTGTTTCACGAACAGTGTTTAAAGTCACTGTTCGTGAAAATACCATATATTCCTATACACAATAAAAGCAGACAACCTTCCAATGTTATGCAATAAGTCTTAAAGTGGCTAGGTTTGCCACAGTCAATATACATTTTTTTTTTGCTGGTTAGTATAGGATCATTCATCACTATGTTTTGGCATTCACTACTATACTATCAGTCTTGGGCTTTCTGTGAAATGTTAAAGGAACATTCAAGTGCCATAAATACTACAGCTCACTGTAGTGGCTATGGTGCAATAAGACAAAAGGGCCCTCCCTACATTGCAAGTAGTGATATTTGACTGCATACCTAGGGACTGCTGGGTGTTGCTTTCCAACTCCACTACTGGTGAGCAGGAAACTTCTAAGAAGGAACTTCCATTAGTCATACAGATTAGAGGTCCAACCAATAAAACATTGACTACTTAAATAAAACCAAAAACTCAGATACCTTTCAGGGTTCTTTTTCATATGAAGCTCAAGTACTACTTGTTTTTAGTCACCAAGAAAACAATTGGTAACACACTAAGCCGTGAAGGACTAAAATCCTGTAGCGCCCGCAAGGTCCCCCAGCTCAAGAAAGCACATGTACAGGCTCATCTGAAGTTTGTCAATGAACATCTGAATGATTCCGAGGAGACCAAAATCGAGCTCTTTGGCATCAACTCAACTCGCCATGTTTGGAGGAGGAGGAATGCTGCCTATGACCCCAAGAACACTATCTGCACCATCAAACATGGAGGTGGAAACATTATGCTTTGGGGTGTTCTTCTGCTAAGGGGACAGGACAACTGCATCGCATCAAAGGGACAATGGACAGGGCCATGTACTGTCAAATCTTGGGTGAGAACATCCTTCCCTCAACCAGGGCATTGAAAATGGGTCGTGGATGGGTATTTCAGCATGACAATGACATAAAACACACAGCCAAGGCAACAAAGGAGTGGCCTAGCCAGTCTCCAGACCTTAATCCTATAGAAAATCTGTGGAGGGAGCTAAAGGTTCGAGTTGCTAAACTTCAGCCTCGAAACCTTAATGACTTAGGATCTGCAAAGAGGAGTGGGACAAAATCCCTCCTGAAATGTGTGCAAACCTGGTGGCCAACTACAAGAAACGTCTGACCTCTGTGATTGCCAATAAGGTCTTTGCCACCAAGTACCAAGTCGAAGGGGTCAAATACTTATTTCACTCATAGCCATGCAAATCAATATATATCTTTTTTGACATGCATTTTTCTAGATTTTTCTTTTGTCATTCTGCCTCTACCATTAAAATTATAGACTGATCATTTCTTTGTCAGTGGGCAAATGTTCAAAATCAGAAGGAGATCAAATACTTGTGGGTGAGTCTATGTGTATAGGTTAGTTTTGTGTATAGGTAAGGTTGTTTATGTGTCTGTATGGGTCAGTCTGTGAGTGTGCATCTGTGTATGGGTCAGTCTGTGAGTGTGTATAAGAAATTGTGTTTGTTTATTGGTCAGTGTGTGTGTGTATGGGTCAGTGAGTGTTCATGTAAGATTCAGTGAATGTGTGTATAGGTCAATGATAGATTTCAACCTTGTCTAACTATGGCCTCAATTAAATTTTTTGGATACGCTTTTCAAAACTTTTAATATTTTTGGATAAACTTTTTAAAATTACTTTTATAAAATAGTAAAATAGAAAAAATATATCATATATAAAAATATTTTAAAATATTTAAAATCATTTTCATATGATTAAATCTTTTTTAGAAGTTTATCCAAAAGTATGTGTAAGTGTATGTGAATGAGTCAGTGTGTTTAGGTCAATTTGTGATTGTGTATGTGTGTATGAATAAGTGTGTCAGTCTGTGAGCGTGTGATGTGTGTGTGATGTGTGTGTGTGTCTGGGTCAGTGTGTGTGTGAAAACAGGTCAGTCTGTCATCATGAGACTGTCATCCTGAGATTATTCAGCTACATTTCAGCTAGAAGTTCAGGAATTAGGATGGTCATCGATCAGCACAGATTTAATCAAATTGCAGTTCAGAACATAAAGAACCTCCAAGTCTACTAATTAATAACACAAGATACCTTTTTCATGCTTACAGTAAAATAAAGTGAACAAAAAATGTAAACTCAATTTCAGAAATACATCATTAAAAATACATTTCAAATTGACAGCAAAATAATCCTTCATGTTTTATAGGAAAGTATGTGTTTAAATGGAAGTATGGTGTAAAATATTAGTGATAGCTTCTATTGAAGTAACTTTTGTGCAAATATTTTCTCTACTTTGTTCACCATTTCATGTTTTTCTAGCTAAATCAAGCCTTTAAAACATAGCTATTCATTTCCCATACTGTAAAAATTGGCACTAATTCAACAAAACAGCTATATTCCTATAGGATTTAATCCATGCCAGGCTCAAGAACTTCCGATCACCCACTGTATCAAAATACACAACATTGTTACTGTTTTAGTAGACAGACCAGCAGGCTACCTTTTGTGTTTGATATAGCAGAACTTAAAGTTTGAACTCATGCCAAACACTGTCCTGCCCTGTTCACTCACACAGGAAAGTGTTAGCGTAAATCAAACCATTAATATAACATGTCTTGTATAAACCTGCAAGTGTTTTCGCAAAATGGTTTATGGTGAAAGAATGCATTTTTCCGTGTGAAAGATATTTTATATCAAATAAATTGCAAAATGTCTACATGAATGTCCACTGGTTAAACACAAGAGAAAACCTCAAATTCCTAAAGTGTATATTATATTTTCAGTTTGTTTTTAGAGTCCTTTGATCTGAATTTATCCAAGAGATACAATCTTTGGTTCAAGTTATTAATCACACCCTCCAGATTTAGAAAGGCACGAAGTAGGAAGTTAGCACTTCAACTAACTGAGAAGATATTTAATATTCCTGCAAAAAAAAACATTTTTGATTTAATGTAATTTAATTTAATGTACTTATTATTATGTAAGAATTGGGAATATATGACCTAAGAGATGCCCAACTATGAAAGAGACATGTATCTGGAGCGCATGATCTGGACAAGCAGAGTGTGCTCCCTAACTCCTCTCTCATCATAATGAAAATCTTCAAATGTACGGTGGACTTGCCAGTCACCTCCTTCCATAACTGGATTGATCATCAGCACACCAAGAATAATTATTATTACTACCATAGACAATATTGCCATGTCCCGTACCCAGAGGAATGACAAGTTGGGGACTATTTGTGTATTTTTAAGGCAGAGATGTAGTGACAGAAGGATCACAAAACTGATCAGGAGATTGTGAAGATCCGACAGGAAAGAATAACGGTGTGACAAATCGTACGTTATTCCACTCTCGTTTGTTCTTGAAAAAACTATCTCACTACTCCCTGTCTCTGTACTTTTCTCCCTCCATGCTAAACACCCAAAAATGCCTCTTCTCTGGCAGGGATTTGGTTCTCAAAAGCCGCAAGGTCCCAGCGGGACTTAGTAACAAAACATGTGAAACTCCAGCTCGGCCGAATCACATCTCCATTCTTAACCCTGTGCTTTACCCCACTTCCCGACCTTCCAGGAGAGCGCTATTTGGAGGGGAAGTAATATGGATAAAAATGACAAATTGCTCCCATAGAGCCAGGGAGAGGCCCCCTTTGTTTGTCTGCAGGAGCTCCCAACAATTGACCGGCCGAAGGGACATTTACTCTGGAACTATTCTCGCCATGAATTTTGCTAGCGGACGGTCAATTATTTACCCCTGGGGAAGATTTATCCTTTCTCCACGGATCCAGGAGCTATTTTGCCAACATGGGCACACAGACCAAAGCTATCTGGAGATGTATGATGTGTTGGGGTTTCTGCTTGTTTTCATGTGTTTTGGGGGTATTTTCATGTTGTGTCCTCTGGATCCGGGAGATAATTAACTTAACAGAGGGCTAACTCTGGGATGAATAGGGACCCCTTGCTGGGGGTCACTCTATAAAAGACTGTGCTTTCCCAATAAAAATCAGTTATACTCCCAGAACTATGTGTCATCTAGTTACTGAGGGAAAGGTACAATCACTGACCAATGCTTCTTCCAGCTACAAAGAAAATTCAATGAAGATGCCCAGTCGGGGTAGTGGAGCTCTGCTACAGAGAGTTTGCCTCCAGAGGGAATATCACAGCTATGACAAGGAGATTGCTCAGTTTACTGAAGCAGTCAAAGGCAACCAGTCCAGATATGTTGATCTTGGAACTTACGGCATTGCTAGAAACAAAAGCGTGATATAGACTGATTTAACCAGAGCAGCCAAACAGTTCGAGTACATTTTCACCTAATATGTTTCTTTTTTTTGTCTTTCAGAATGCATGTGGAAACTTTAGACCTGAACAATAAATAATATACTATGAATCATGAAGAAAAAAAAATTGTTGGGGATGTACCTTTTCCTGTAATTTGTAACCTAGGAGAAGGCATTGTTAGTCTATGAGTGCTGATAATCATATCACAGTTAGTTTAGCAATTTATTGCTGAAGAAGCAATGCAAAACTAAATGTAACCCTGAAAGCCCCACTTATTTTACCACCTGAAAAGGTACTGTAATTGGAAAGCCCACTCATGTCTCCACAATCAGTAGCAACATTTGAAGGCTTTAACCCC